ACCACAAAATAATTACATCGATGATACAAAACTGCCGTTTTTTAAAAGATCTGTTTCAGAAAACTCTTGATTGTCAATGATTGCTTTGATTGTAATCAGCTTCCCCGCCCCCCTTGTTACGTTGTTATTTTAACGATTAAGATTTAGGTGAAGACGCGACTGTTTAAGTATTGACAAATGCCACAATGATAATGACGAAAAATGACAAGAGGAAGTAAATAAGAAAATGAAACTTGAATGAGAATTCACTAATTTATTTAATAGATTAGAATTAATCAATGAAACCGTAGATACAACAAGGATAAGTTGTACGATTTGACAAGNGAGTCACGTAGAGAAAAAAAAAGAAAAAGGAGTTGATTATAATAGAACCAACTAACAGAGAAGAAAGGTAACAAGCTAATGAAACAGAAAGATACAGTAAAAGTTAAAACACGGGTAGTAGCTAGCAATAAGAATCAAGAAATTATATTGAGAAAATATATGTACAAGCATAATTAGTATCAGCACATAATACAGGCGACCTTATGCCGTCACAGCCCACCCCCTTGCTTTTTCTCTATTTTTTGAAAAATCCTCTTATATTCATAGCTTATACTTGTATGTATTTTGATATTTATATCATTACATATGCCTGCGTCGGTGCACCTTTAATTTTAGACCGATACTCTATTAGATAATTTTTCTAGAAGTTTTTCTTTTTTTAATAATAATTATATTGAGTTTTTTTAATGAAACTCAATATCGTTACGAAACAAATGTATATGTATCAATTTTCTCTATGGGCACCGTCTATCCCCTGAAAAAAATAGCTGCAGTTCGTATTTCAGATAAATCGCTACCATGAAAACATCTTTTTTTAAACGAATTACGTATTCTGAAAGCCCATGGAGTTTTCTATCACCCTATATAGTTGCTTTAGTTTAAACATATTCATTACCAAAATATATAGATTGCAACGAAGGCTTCTTCATATCCAAATTCCTACATACTTGATTTTTTTCTGCAATAAAACTTAGTTCTTTGAATTTCTCATCTCTACAGAATAACTTACTGAAAAACGTAAATACAGATTCTGATAGAGTTTGAAATTCTCTATCGTTCTGCATATGTATTAACTATCTTGTATGTTTATGCTGGAGAATAATTTGAATATCACATAGATATGCTCATTGACAAGCTATAAAAAGAAGTAGCTTATTTTATTAGTTCCCTCGTTTACTGTTTCAAA